GGAAATTTACAAAATATCTTCATGGAACATGATCTTTACTTAATATCCTAATGATTTTTGGCATAAAAGAAAAATGGATAATTTTGACCCATACAATGTATTTTGGGCTATTGCTACAAATATACCCCAGCGACTTAAGACTGCTTTTGTGCTCCAGGGTCACATTTCATGCAGTGGTCTGTTGACACATATGATGCAGGGCAACAACTCCATAAATGCAGTTACGCCCTAAAATTCTAAATATTGGTGCAAAAAATGCCCCTGTATGAGTTTGTCTCATATTTATATCATACGATATCACACGAGCAGCGAGAGCAGTATTACACGAGTGATTTTGTACAACAGTTCAGTAAATAAGAAGTTGATATTGTGTTATATTTTAAACACAATAGTATGTGCTTTTGCTCAATTTTGCAGAGAACATATTACCATAGCAGAATTGTTGTGCATCTCCGAGCAACACAGCGGTTTTTAGTTTCTGAATGAATCTGCGTTTTAAACGAATCGTATGAATCAAATGATTCAAAGTCACATTCATAAAGAGAGCCGTTTACTGAATTCCTGAATGAATCAGCCGTTTGAACGAATTGAATGAAAGACTCATAAAGACATTTACTGCCACCTGCTGGCAGATTTGGTTTCTTATTTCGAGTATCATTTCATAAAAAAATATATATATAAAACATTAAAAGGATAGTTCACCCAAAACAATTAAAATTCTGTCATCATTTCCTCACCCTCATGTCGTTTCAAACCTTTCTTTTGTGTAACATAAAAGAAGTTATTTTGAAGACTGTTGGTAACAAAGCTGTTTTAGTTACCAATGACTTTCATTGAATGAGCAAAAAATACTGAGATGTTTCTCAAATTATCTTATTTTATATTCCAAAGTTTATGTTAGGACGTTGTAGCCTAAATGTTTGTGTAATTAATTGTTAAATCAAATCAAATAATTCTTTCTAAAGCTATAATTTGTAATGTATATGCTTGATACTTTCTAATTTAACACAAAAATAGCTTTAAATAATCTTTTGTGGGTATTTTCACAGTCAAATTTATTTTGCGATTAATTAGATTAATTAATCGACACATCATGTAATTAATTAGATAAAAAAATTTGAATCGACTGACAGCCCTAATTTTTATGCTCATGCTCTGTCTGTGTTCCAGGGTTACCAGATTTCACTCAAGAGCTCCAAAGGCCCGATCGACGTGTTTCTGTGTCCCGAGGACAGTTCTGGGGTCTGTAGTCCCGTCACTGATTGTAGTCCAGCGAAATCATCTGAGCCCGTCTCACAGGAAGTGACATCATCAACGCCTGCTACTCTCCCCAGCTCCTCCCCTCTGCCTCTGGGTGCAGACTCAGGTTAGCATGTGATTGCAACTTAATTTATCTCAATTAAAACTCTAATAATCTTGTTGTTACTTTAGCACAACAAATACCATTTTTGCCTGTTTTACTGTATTTCAGTAAGTATTAAAATTTCCAAATGTGTAATTTTTAAACAATTTATAAATATTTAGGGAAAAATGTTTAATGTAAATCTTATATAGAAATTAACATTAAATTTAATGTTCATTTTAAGTATAAATATTAATCGTAAATGTAAATTTTTTTTTAGGTATTTTAAAATTAAATATAAATATTATAAATATTAAACACAAATTTTAAATAGTAATGCTAAATCCAAATACAATATTTGTGGTTTACATTCAGATTTAATATTTAATTTTATGGGAAATTATTTTTAATGTAAATTCCAAATGTTAAATTCAATATTAAAAGTAAATCGTAGGCATAAATATTAAGTCCAAAAATAAAATGTATGATTTACATTTTTAGATTTAACGTTTATATTTAATTGAAATATTTTTTTAATGTAAATTCCAAATATAAATATTAAAGTTATTTTGAAATATTAAATATAAATGTGATTAAAATTAAATGTAAATCTTAGGCCAAAAATTTAAATCCAAAAATAAAATGTGAAATATGAAATAAAAGTAAATTCCACATATAAATATTACAGTTTTTAATAATAAAATATATAAATTAATAAATGTGATAAATATTAAATGTAAGTCTTGGGCCTGAATGTTAAATCCAAGTACAAAATTTGTCATTTACATTCAGATTTAACATTTAGATGTACATGAAATTATTTTAAATGTGAATTGCGAATATTACAGCTATTAAGGTATTAAATCTAAATGTAAATCACAAACATTATTGTGCCTTTTATTTATGCCTAAGATTTACTTTTATCTTTTATAACATTTAACATTTACTGTTTTAGTGTTTTGTTTTTTTAAATTACATTATAAATAAACCAGCTGTGCAATTTTAGATTAAAATATAAAAGTGTGCTATTTAAAATAACAGCTAATAATTCTTGCTATGATTGTTTACATGTCACTTTTTAATAAATAATTTTATAACGTTTTTCCCATTTCTTTAGTAGAACAAATGAATCAAGTGTTTTTCTTCTTCTGTGTTCCAGAGGCATTTCTGGACTCGGACCCGTTTTCCGGCATTTGCGAGATGCCAGATTTCGATTTGTCTCCTTTGGACTCATCTGACTTCCTTCTGGAGCGGGGCGGCGCGGCGGACGCCATCGGCCTCCCGCTGGACGGTTTCATCTGTCTGTCTCCGCCGCACAACCAGGACTATCACTTCGGCCTGGAGGATCACGAAGGCGTCAGCGAGCTGTTCGACTGCGACTTCAGTGACCTCGGCCCTCTGGAGTTCTGACAGACGGATCCGAGTATTGGTTTGCCAGTGTGAACAGGAAACTGATTCCACAGAGGGCTCTGAGCACCGCCATTTAATTTATTAATAGAAATAAGTCACCTTTAAAGGAATTGTTACCCAAAAATGAACATTTGCTGAAAATGTGCTCCCCTTCAGGTCATCCAAGATGTAGATGAGTTTGTTTCTTCATCAGATTTGGAGAAATGTAGCATTGCATCAGTGTCTCAGCAATGGATGCTCTGCAGTGAATGGGTGCCGTCAGAATGAGAGTCCAAACAGCTGATAAAAACATCACAATAATCCACAGCACTCCAGTTCATCAGTTAATGTCTTGAGAAGCCAAAAGCTGTGTATTTGTAAGAAACAAATCCATCATTAAGATGTTTTTAAACATCAAGTCATTTAAAGATGACTTCAAACTGTTGCTTCCAAAACTCATCCTAATCTTGGATGGCCTGAGGGTGAGCACATTTTCAGCAAATGTTCATTTTTGGTGAACTTTCTAAAACCTCTTTTTTTGTTTTTATTTGAATTTATTGTAAATCTAATGTCACCGTGAAGGTTTTAGGATGTCGTAATCGTACTGGATCGAGGTTTGAATATAAACTGACAGGTTTTATGGACTATATTTCTCAGGAGAATCGTATAGTATTTCAGGTGAGCGATAACGTACTAGTTACCGTATGTATTTAGGGTCTGGTTATGTTGCATAGGTTGGTTATGCATGCTGCACGATAATCAATCCATCATCGCTCGTGTGGTGATAAAGAGGATTTACAGAAAATGAACTTCATTCACACCATCGTAATATCAATTTATTTTTAATCACAATTATATTCACTCGTTCCGTGCAAATGTTCATCATGTCACTGATTCTCTCGCATTCACGAAGTTCTGCGTCTTTTAAAGCATTGTGTGCGTAGGTTTGTGCATTTTTATCGCTGTTACAGGAAACGTTCTGTATTTATTATAATTAATATCTGATCCTGGTACAGTAAATGCCCAGTTATTATATATATATATATATAGTCCCCTAAAAATTCACTTGTCTTGTTTTTTTTTTTTCCTGTGCATGTGTGTAAATATTCATATAATTTCCTGCCTCATCTTAAATATTAATCTTGATATTTAAAAAGCACTATATGTATTTTTTTGTTTGTTTATTCCTTCAGCCCTTTCTAGGATTCTCTTTAATGAGTCCAGGGATAGAAATAATGTGTTGTATTTCTATATTTCCCTACCGGAGTTTGAATTGTGCTGTATTTCTAGCTTTCAAGGTTTCAAGATTAGCTACAGGACGAAGTATATATATAGTCACATGAAAGGATTATAATGCCATTGTAGTGGAATGTTTAAATGCATTTGATAAGGTAGGGTTGATTATAAAGGGCTCTGAAGTTTAAGGACACTGTTTGATAAGCTCTTCATTTTATAAAATGTATAATTTAATGCAAATTGGCCGTCTGTGTGTAGATTTGATGGGGTTTTGCCTTGTTCTGTTTTCTGAAGGCAGCTTTGTTATTTAGTTGAATGTGTTTTTTTTGTCTTTTTGGACAGTTGTGTAAATCGTAAATGTGCACGTGTTTGTATGACAATTGTTCGGTAGTTTTTGTTTTATTGTGTTTGTGAGGTGGAGTTGTCTGGGACAATTCTTCTGACGGGATCAAGCGCTTCGATGAGTGTGATTCATGTTTATCTGGTTGTACAATAGCAATATTTTTGTAATAGTGCTTTTTTTTTTTTTTTTT